ATTGACGTAATTAATTGTGTGATAATAACTTTATTTCATATAACGTAAAATTTTTATATACGGTCTTTGTACAGCAAAACAGTTTATTTTAGTCATTAAAGACAAAAACCGAATTATACGGTCTGTCGTGCAAATGAAGTAGGTTCGCATTATTTACTTTTGATATTCGCCGCTAGGAAGAGTAAGCAATGTAAAGAGAAATAATTGGAATATTTTAATTTTTTATTATTTAAATTTAAATAAATGTACTGTACTATTTGTTTTCTTACTTGAATCGGATCTTATGGAACATAGAACCTCTATAATTTTTTGAATCTTTTTTTGTTTAGATTGTTTGTAACAATATCATTTAAGTTCTCATTAAAAGCTAATTAATTGTCAAGCACATCAAAAGATTTAGAAAAATATAATTAAGTTGGATTGTATTAATTGTAAAGGATGCGATTAAAATATTAGTTTAATTAAAATATTTACAGGATTTTATGTTAGAATAAGTATTACTTAAATCTGAAAAATGATGGCAGTGAACCGATCCTAAATCGAATCGGTTTCGAACCGAAACCTTTGATTTTTTGGTGTAAATGAACGAAACCACAAGTCGAATCGCTGATGTAAACCCCAGACAAACTAGACCGAGGCAAGTTTTAGAGTATGAAACTATATTACCGAACGTTTTTGAAAATACTCATATAGATATCAATACTAGTAAGAAAAAATATAACCAACAGTTGTTAAACAAGCTATTTGGTAATTATATTGGCTAACAGCCTTGCTATATCTAAACCAAAAATCATAAGAAATATGATTGCTTATTTGTAAGATCTTATCTATAAAATCCAATACAATGATTATTAAATTGAATTCCCCACCTTCTTCATATGCCTATTTTACCTTATGCTGTTAAAACAATCTGCAGCAACTTTAGCAACCTTACTTAGTCTGCCAGGCATTGCCAATTCAATATGTATTTTTATTTCTTCGGGTATTGATTCAAATCTTTTGCATATCTGTTATGGATATATAGTATACATGTTTCGCCCAAGTAAGTTGTTAAAGTTTTGGTTCGGCACGAAGTAAGTAGACGTCATCGTTACTTTCAATTTCTCTTAGTCTGTATTCATAGATACTATAGATTCAATTACCAATCGAGCAATAAATACGTAGGGCACCCTTTAAAGTGGTATAGCTAATGAATGGTGCCCCAAAATAGTGTGACTTTAGTAATATTTCAAAATGAAAAGAGGTTCCATTGCGGAATAACTGTCCTTCTATATGTGATGCTTTAATGGTGATGAAGAATACTGTTGGTTATTGGTTATATGTGTACGTTCAGGCAATAACAAATGAATTTTTTTGGAATTGGGTAGTGTTTTATTATATATATCAGCCCCTCGATAGACTTTGATTTTATTCCTTAGCTTTTTTGTGAAGGAAATTGTATTTAGAAAATGATTGTATGTGTGGAGAAATTTTTCACTCCATATTCACCTTCCTTTATGAGATATCCTAGCTTTAACCATGATTTCACGGTTCATTAAAAGGAAAATTTGAAAACAAATAGTTGATGTCCGTGATTATCTGAAGAAAAATCACATTCTGAAATATATAATATTGAATTTACAAAGGCGATCGATAATATGGTGAAAATACAATATGTAGGATGACTATTAACAAAGGGTGTCAGAAACTGATAAGTTGAAGCAAATAATCAATAGGTAGGAACAATTGTGAAACCGTGGTATACTCCACATTCAGTGTCATGCCAGCATATGGTAATGATTGGGTTTAAAAAGATAAAACGTAAATAATTTCATTTAATATATTTTATTTTATTTATTTTTGTGTAAATTTATTTTATTTATTTTTTGATTTACCGTTAATGAGTTCAATAATTGAAATTTTACGATTTATGTTCATGTATGGTTTTTTTTTCACACAAACTAGAATTTATGTAGTTTAAGTTTTGGGATTTTAAGGATTAATTAAACAATTGAATTGATAAAAAAATTTCTTCATTAAAATTTAATTTATATAATAAATATTTTTTAATATGTATCTAAGTTTTTTGCCATTAACTATTTTTAATATTTTATTAATAAAATCACGATTTAAGAATTTTTTACGAATATTTTCTTTCTTCTCTATCAAAGAACTTCGTATTATTTAACAACTATATGGAACCATAGCAGAGTGTGCTGGAAGTTCTCTGGGAAAACAGATATATTGTAAAAGTATGGGCAAATTTATATTTTGATTATGTTTTTTTTTTTGTTACGTATTATGCTCTATAAATAATCGATTATATTGATGAAATTATATATTTACTCATTTTAGGTTTAATTATTTTGTAACAATTTATAACTACACTAAGAAATTGTATTTATATTCAATATTCATTCATTTCTGGTTAAATTCTATTTATTTATAAAAATAATAGAGTTCGTACATTTATGTCAGTGTTGTGTATGGGTATTTATTGTATATCAGCAAATATTTTGAATAATTTTCCAAATACAGATTGATCAAATAAGCACTATATATATTTTTTAACGTATACTGACGTTTTTTTATAAATTTTTAATAGAAGATTTGTGTTAATTTTTGGTGGTAAATATCCATGGATGGATATACAGTTGAATAGATTTGGCAATTATTAAAGTTTATTACAAAAATTATTAATTCTTTTCTGGATTCGTTTCGGAGAATATGTGGAATTTGTGGTCAAAATGCTCGATATGTGCTGATTACTATTCCGAATGTAATTTAAAAATTTGGATAAAATAGAACTGTTCGTGATGTTAGAGAATCTAACTCATTTAAAAGTAAACTTAAAACATCAACAATCAATGAATTATAGTATGTATGCAAATCGAGAAAAATCAATTAGACGTCATTTTCAAGTAATTGGATTTCATTATAGCAGAAATATATTCTCAGAATATGTATTCTTTATAAAAATTTAAATGTCAAGACGTGTAATGACTCAATAGTCTTGAATCAAATGACTATTTATTGCGTAAAAATATGCTAGATTTGCTATAGTAGCACTTGAAACAGATCTATAATATTTAGGAAAAACATATATAGTTTTAAAGCCTATTCTTAATAAAATTGATTTGTGAATAATCAAAACTTCAAAATTGTTGCATTTGGGATGAACAAAATCTACTGAATAAATAACCTTTGTAGTTATAATTATAATTAATCTTTATGTCTAAAGTTTGGTATGGTTTGGGGTCTTCAAATAATAACATTAATTATTTGATATCGACTTAGACGGTAAGTGGTTCTATAAGTTGATGAAACATGACATATATTTCGTCACATAACCAATTTATTGACATAAAAGTTAAATATATATATAGCTTTTATTTGATCAATATTTTTATTATATGTGTGAGTGATTTTTAGAAGTCATTATAAACATATATATAATTCTCAGTTGCTTCAAATTTGAAGTGAGATGTAACTATTATGTTTTTTTTTCTTTAATGAACAAAAATAGTGGGTTCGGTTAGGTTATAACGAATATTCTAGGAATTCATTTATGACTAAGAACTCAAACGTTTAAAAACCATTTTGAACCTTTGTCAAAGCTCAAAATGCTTCTTAGAGGAAGGTTATGGAGCTGGCCAAGAACCTTGAAAAAGTAAGCTCCTGGCGATTAACATTAGCAAAAAATGATATTAATATGTCTGAGAACTTAAACGTTTAAAAACTACCTTGAATCTTTGTCAAAGTTCAAAATGATTCTTAGAGGAAGGTCATAGAGCTGGTCAAGAACTTTAAAAAAGTAAGGTCCTGGCGATTAACATTAGTAAATTAAAATTAACGATTTAAATGATATATGCACATTGTCAAATTTATCACATTTGCAGAGCATAACTATCGGTGAATATTGTCTCATTACGATCGTGGGTGCATAGATCGTTTGTTTTGAACTGGATCATGAGTCTAAAAGCAATAAATGGTTTTATTGTGGATCCAATTAAGAATTTGACATGGATGAAAATTTCGTTTAAAAACAATTAGTAACTTAAGCGCATTTGTAAAACAGGGACGATACGAGTATTAAGTATTATCATACTCTTCTCACTCTTTTAATTTGTAAGCAAAAGAGAATATCGATGAGGTTGTGTTCTTTTAAACTGTATTACATGAAAACCTGTATTTATAATCTTTATTGTTGGGAGTAATTTTTATTTCTTATTTGACTTTAAAATAAACTAACATATAATAAAAATTTCTGTGTGTGTGTGTGTGATTACAACAATGTCAAAAATCTGTTTAATATTTTTTGATTTTATACTTAGCTTACTTTTACTATATATGATTATAATAGCATTTCTTTAGTTTTGATTTAATCTATTTAATTTTTATTAATGTTCTGCCTAAAATTGAATTTCGAATTTTGTGATATGTTAGCATTTTTTTTATTAATAATTTTTAAGTATTTCCTTCAGTTTGTGTGTTCAATATGACATTTTTTTTTTTTTTTATTGAAATATTCTATATATTTTTTTATTTTTGTATATAAGATAGCATTTTTGCTTATAAGTGATTTAAGATTTAAAAAATTTTTGCTAAGGAAATTTCGTATACAATATTTTTGGTAAGATACGAGATAATAATATTAGTAATGTTTTATGTTTTTTTTTATATAATATTAAATACATATTTACAAAATTTTTTTTTAATAGAAAAACACATCTATTTGAGTGATGTGTGGTTTGTGCATGATTAGTTTTTCCTTTACACAAATTACAGCTACGAAACATTAATTTTAATTTTTACATCGAATATTGCACGCTTTAATAATTCATTAACTTGGTTAATGTAATTAATAAGGAAAGCAACAGGATTTTAAGGATATGTCCATTATGATATGGGTATAAGAGATACTTCTTATGAGTATTCATTTTTATTTCGGGATAATTCCTTTACAACTGCGTTATTTTGATTCCGTTTGGTCTTCTGCCAATTAATAGTAATATTATTTGGATGAAGTCACCAGTTGACTCGTGCTGTAACCTTGTGTATTGCAAGTGGGCAGAGCAAATGGGTTAAAGCTCAAGCTGCTCATTCCTGAAATTATATAAAAGTGAAAAAATTATTATTATAATAGTATATTTGTATATAATTGTATGTAATTCATAAATAATTTTAATATACAAACAGTATTTTTAAGCTTTATGAACTGATCTGAGAGATGGCGTAGCTATGATTTTTTGACGGATTTATTTTAGTCTTAACTAACAGAGTAAATGATGTTAAGACTCTATGAGCTGTCGGGTTCACATCGCATCTATTCTATCAGAAAAGAAACTTAATAAAGCCTGCTTTCAGCATTTTCAAAAGAGTTATAACAACAACAACAATTTATTCTAACATCAGAATAAGTAATGAAAAAGAATTTATTGTTGTAGTTCACTTCTTAGGGTTGAAGTATGTTTCCACTACTTACTAAGTAAGTGTAACTGACTAAATAGATTCGTTAAGCATATAAAGAGCTTCTGGCTTTTTAACTTACTTTAAAAAAAGTAATAACACTGTAATACACACTGTCTCATTTAGGCGGTTTTGCTCATTACAGTCACTAATGAGAATGATTTAGCATACAAAGTGCTTTTATATAAATGAGCTCATTATCAATAAATCAGCCCATTTAAGGCGTATAATGTCGAATACAACCATTAAAAATAAATTTCCCTCAAGAAAAATCATCAAAATTTGAAATATGTGTTATATGTTTAATATGTAAATTGTAAGCAAACAACAGCTGAGCTGTAAAGAAACGAAGTAAGTATTTAATAAAATCTTTGTTTTTATTAATTGAATATGTAATGGAAATGTTATGTATGTATATAAATTGATATTTAATTTTTGTGCAATATATTATTAAGTGAAATTTATTTAAAAAAACAGAAGCTCTCTTTGTAATTTCAAAGAACTTTCGAGCATATAAAATCTCTTTCACATGAAATAAGTAACTTATGTCAATGGAAACGACAAAATCTTAAAGTTACTCAAGTAACTTACTAAGCAAACAGTGGAAATATGGTATTACTCAGATAGTAGTATTGTACACCACTTGAAGGTTTGTGTGGATAAGCTGTTCCGAGATGTAGAGCCGAACATTTTTAGTGTCAAAAGGTCTTTGTCGAGGATAATTGGCTTACCAACTACTGATAATTGAATAATATGTATCAAATAATATATTTGATATATAATATATATCAAATAGTAAAATTATATATATTTTACAGTGCTAGGAATATTTCTGTTATCAGTTTATATAAGTAGGTAATGTTTTTTGATATTTCTCTTAATTTTTTTGTTTAATTTTAAGTTAAAGTTAACCGTTTTTAAGATATTGATTTTTATTTGGGTTCTTTTTGATTCATTTATGATATCTTATGTTTTTTAAAAAGAATTAAAAAAAACATTAAAATACTTTGAATATAATATCAAGGTAATTTTATAGAGAGGTTTCCAAAAGTAGTGAACTACAACAATAAAAAATATTTTTATATTATTTTAATTAATTAATTATTTTTTTGGCTACCCATGAATTTTTTTGGCTGTTTCGAGTATTGTTAAATACCCATCGTCAGAGGTTTTGGAGGTTTCTTGTATTTAAATCCATATTCGTAAATCATTTTCTTAGATTTTTTTTATATATTGATTTTATATAATTTTAATTAATGTACAGTATATATAGTTATGTATACTTGAGAGGGATATAACAGAAATCCAATCATTTCTTTAGCTACAGCTTTAAATGATTCATCTGATTACTATTATACTATAAAAGTGAATTAAAGAATGTTTTATATCATTGAAAGCTAAGAGAAAAACTGATTGAGAGAACTGTAGTTTGAATATAAGCTCGAAAAAATATATTAATGAATTCTCTCTTCTCAATGTTATTAACAGTACTATAAAACAGGGCTGTGAAATTACTTTGAACTGGAGAGGTTTTAAACCGACCTTATATCAAACTATTATGACTTTGAACTGAATTGCTGATATGAAGGTTAACTAAACTAACCTTTAAACCGAATCAATGGTTCAGAGTATCGAAACACTGAACCAAACATTTTTTGGTTCACAGTCCTTGTATATAAATGATCAGAAGAACTACATATATTTTAAAGTCGGTTTTGTTTTTTCAGAACTTTAACTTTTATTTTTATCGTTGTTTTTAGTATATTTCTATACGTATTTCGGCAATTTCGCTTTTGCCTTCATCAGGAGAATTCCTAATATTATATAGTAAGTTTCAATTATTCAGTTAACATATATTAAATTAATTATAAATAAAATAATATCGGTTTCATGATTATTCTTTGCAGTTACAATTTTTATAATATTTATTTTGCATTTGAAAACAATACAAAAATAATAATAAATAAATATAATGAAATCAATAAAAGTATATTAAAAGGAACAAATTATAAATACCATTTTAATGTGTGGATGGTTGTGTTATATGCGGCTGGAGAGTGCTTCAAATCAATTTCAGGTGAGGCAGATGAATGTTGTGGTTCATACAAAACGGGGCCTCACTCAAAATAACTCAGTTGATTTTCTTTAAGGACATTCTTGAATTTAAACGTTGCTGTTGTTGCCTTTTGGTTATGTTGTTTTTGTGGTTGTTGTTGTCGTTGTATATGTAGTATATGCACAGATAGACTCGAATCGGCATTTAACTTAACGTTACGGAATGGCACACGAGCTTAGACCGCTGCGGTGGCTGCTGATACTGCCGGATTGTGCCATGGTTGATGTGGATGAGGATAATGAGGATGGGTGTGATGGTGTTGTACGAGGGCCTGATGCCACGGCGTCGACACTGTTGAAATTAATGGCGAAAAGGCACTAGCTGAGCATATTTGTTTTACATAATTTTTTTTTTTTTTGATGTTTTTCAATATTTCAAATTTTTGTTTGTATTTTTGTTGTTTAAACGAAAAGTAAATAAAAAACTCAAGAGGAAGGAATATTTATATGTAATACAATATGAAATGAATTAATAAAATTTGTCGATTTTACATGCAAAGAAAAGAATAACAAAATAAAAAAATTCAGTTAATAATAAATTTTAACAAAATAAAATTAAATTGAGAAGTTTATAATGTTAAAAGAAGTCATAGAATTGAACCGGGATCGCGTTAAATGTTTTTTGCGCAGTACTTACTCGAAGTCGAATTAAAAACGCTACTTGGTGAAGATGATAGCGTACCCATATTAGTTGTAGAACCATATCCATTTGCAGCTCCTGTTGTAGCACCATATGAACCACCTGAACTGTGTGGCGTTGAAGCGCTACTACAGTAACCTCCTCGAGGACTAACACTACTTGACTGTGCCCGCTGGTAATCATCTTCGGTCCATTGACCTGAGCCATCCTGTACGCTAACAGCTAACTGACCAGCGTAAGAGTTGAAACCAGTTGAACCACCAGGTGATCTGTGGGTGCAAGTAAAATTAATTAGTAATTTGTTTTTTAGTATATTGCAAAAAATGTTACAAAGTAGTTTAGACTTGAATTTGTTTACCTTGGCATAGAATATAAGGCCTCCACCAAATCGGCCGCTCGCTTAAGTATAATTTCTTTTTGCAGTTTCTCGGGATCTCCGGGATGTCTTGGTATTAATTTTTGTAAGCGCTGAAATCCATAATCGATTGTGGGCTCATTAAGTGCTGCTTAGAATAAGAAAAGACCATTTGAATTTATAGCAAAATTAATATATGATATATCGGTTTAGTGAGAGATTTATTAACATACATCATAATTGATTTGCACTTTTTCAACTATTGAAATGTTAAATATAAAACTATCACTAAGCATTTGATGAAACTACATTTGTTATACAAACATACTACTATTTTTCTAGAAATTGTATTCCTAATACAGTACATTTACTTACAGACATAGACAAAGCGTCCAGGTGATCCTTTGCAAAATTGTTTACTTTTATATGACAGTGTTACTTCAACTACACCTGGTATATGGCGTGGTGGGGTCTGTACTCGTATGGCGTGTGATGTAATAAGTTCACTCCACACTAACATCGTACCAAATACAACTTGAAGACCATCGAAAAAATTATCACCAACAATAATAACCGTAGCACCGCCAGATGTCCAACCTTCACTTGGAGATATAGCCTTTATGCAAGGTGTGGCAACAGGTAATGGTGGATATAAGCCTATAAATATATTTAAATGATAAACATATTAAATATTTTATATAATAAAAAGGGAAATTAGCATTATAATATTTATTTGTTAATGTTACTACACTATAAGGCAAGGGTGGCTAGCAGTACCTACAAGTTAATTACTTTCAATCCAAATCCAACAAATTATAAGATACAAAAAAATTTTACCAATTACAATAACAAAAAACGATTCAATTAATAATAAATGAAAATAAAAAAAGTTTTAATATTATAATGTAATTAATTCTACATAGCTCAAATACATATATGACGTCAGTGAAGAAATTGTTTGCAAATTTTAGTTTATATTTTTCTTCAATATATTTTTTTAAAATATAGAAAAAAATTATCTACGAAAGTAAAGAAATATCTATTATTGTAAATAAAAAAAGTTAAAATATTTCATCATATTTCCATTTCCTCCAATAAACACATATTGCAAACATTTTCTCAGCAATTTACATATAATTATTTAATTGATGAATTAATAAAATTTTATTAATTAATTAACTAATAAATTAAGATTTTTATACCAATTATAGAATATTTAATTTATCAATAAATTTTGTCTAATTTAAATGGAAAAACAAAAGCAAATTTTGTTACAGACCATCATAGGTACTGTCAGGCGCAAGGGGGTGACCCGAAATAGACAGGGAAGAGTTTCCAGTACCTTCCGTAGTATCCAAACGTTTAGCTCTACGTCCATGTTTAGAGTTATTATGCACAAACATATTGTCCGAAATGGCTAATAGTGGTCCGTCAACTGTTACTTGTGTGGATATAACGACCTATAATGAATAGATTATGAAGTGATTTTATCTAAGTAAAAATATATCATATTTACCTGAAATCTGCGCATATCTCGGGGATTACCAGCATTTTTTAAGCAGTTTTGATTGCACTTTAAGAAGAACTTTAGAAAGAAACTGAAAAAAGACAAGACATGCACAAATATTATAGAGTTGAATATTGATTCATACTAATGTTTTATAAAATTTTTTAGCGTTTATTATTATGTAACAAGTACATCATATGTATATGTATTTGTAATATCATTATTATATTATTACAGAATTAATGCTGAGATATATGCTCCTAAAAATTCTATTGACTTTAGGAAATCAGCAGGTCACTCATACGTACAATCATATAAAAGTGGTTCAAGTAGACTTCTAAGATGTATTGTGTTGTCCCGGAAGAATGCACTTTAATCTCTTAGTAAATAGGTTGAAGATATTATTAAACTTTATAATGTGCTTTTGTTCAAATTTCTTGAAATCTTTTGGTTCGTCATGTTCTTAACATTTAACATCTTAGCATATTAATTATATTTTAGTCTTATTTTGGTAGTTAGCAGAAGTATGTCTCATTAAGAATACATTTAAATACAATTTGAGATCATTTCGATTTAGACTGCAAAACGTATTAGTATTTTGACTGTTGACTAGGCACAATTGTAGCTTTTGAGACTTTGGTATAATTGATTGGTGTCGACCTCAATGTTTATGTTTGAAATTTTTTGCCGGGCTTTAGGTCGTGGTTTTTAATTTTAAATTTTTATAAAATAATAACTAAAATACAAGTTATTATATAAAAATTTAAAATTAAAAACCACGACCTAAAGTCCGGCAAAAAATTTCAAACTAATCTATATTTTGATATAGTTGGTTCTTTAGTTACCAGACTTTAAGGTTATTTCGATATATAGCGGATTTTAATAAAATACGTTGTTAAATCACAATATTTTGAAGATTGTAATTGCGCCCTTGACTCAAATAAGCTGTTTAGATAACATTAGGTTCATAAATTTGATAATAGTTTGGATTTGATGTTTTTGACTACCGATGCAGTTTTAACTCTATTTAGTTGACTGTTCTTACTAACTTTTATTCCTTTCCTAATTTATATTATAAAATTTTCTTTTATACTATTTTTATATTTTTATACTATTTTTAACATGTTATAGAGAAAAATATTTAAGATTTATATTGATGATGCATGATTTAGTCAAGATTTGATATATTATTAAGATAATATTAAGACAATAAGGCCAATTATAGTTGAGTTCAAAGTAAGATAAGGATATAATAGTTACTTACTCTTTTGGACATCTATTATCTTTACAATTATAATAAATTGTAGTTAAAAATTATATCCATTGTAGCACTTAATTAACTTTTCAAAATGATGGGTTGTTAAGGGAAAGGCTAATTGGATAATAATAATTTTCCCAATAAGTAGCCATAAGATATACAAATTCAATGGTTTCCTAAGTTTCGAGGTTTCACTTTACACTTTTCGAAATGTATTTAAACACTTCAATAAAATTAGTTTAAATGTAGGCAGTATAAAAGAGCTCAATAAGCAAAATTTAATGGGAGCAGATGTTTGTCCTGCGGCTATATAATCGCTTGGCACTTGTTACTCTATAAGTTGCATTGGTATTATGTTTTTAGTGTAAATACTTCATTAGCTCCGGAGGCTAAAACTGAATTCACGCGAAAATTTTGCTGAAGGCGCTAAATACAATATTTGTGATAAACCTTGCTCAGCATGACATCGACTCAAACAAGTACGAATATCCTTATGGCAGGATATGTATGGTTTTGATACCGACACCATCGGGTATTTATTGTGCGCCGTGTGCGATATGAAAACGCCCTATTTGATTCTGTTTGTAAAATAAACTAAAATTATACAATTTAGTGAACAATGTGTTATCACAGTGGTGGAAGCAATGACAGGAAGGAAGGAAGCAAGGAAGGAAGAAGAAAAATAATTTTATATTTAACTTTGGTTAAATGAAGTTGCATCGCATCAGCATCAGCACCAGCACCAGCACCAGCGTCAGCATCAGTATAACGTAGATCAAAACACATCAACATAGTCCTTTCTCACATAGGTCGACAAATTGCCATAAATCAGCTGAATATACTTAAGAGGAAACTGCTTGACATATGATACTCATGATATGATTTTATATAACAAAAATTTACTTTCCTTTAACGCAGTTGTCCTTGCATGCATATTTATTCCTTTTTTTGTCCTAAGTTATTTGTGTCGTTATAGTTGAGAGCAATTTGGAAACAATTATGTTTGTTTAAATTTATAACTTGTAAGGAACGAAATTAATTTATAGGCCATCTTTGGTGTATTCCAAGGATCTCAATTGTATTTGTAAAATGTGTTGACATTTTTGAGACTTCAAAAAAATTTATATATTTATGATGGCAATTTGTTAAAATGTTTATTAATTTGAATATATTTAGAGAATTCCAGATGTGCATTTCAGGAAGAATGAACATTTTATTAATTTTTTTTTCGAAATTTATTTGAATTTATTTGAATATTTGATATAAAATGCGAATGGATAAAATTTAAATAATTTCATATTCAAGTGTTTATTTTCATTAGAGCATTTATGGATATATAATATTTTGATTTGTTTGAGTAATATATATATGTACTTTAGTACACCTATCAGTATACATTTTTATTTCTTTAGCACTTTGAAAAGTTACTTCTCCACTTTGTTCATTAACTTAATCAAAATTTTTCAAACCCATTATAAATTATATACTATAATATAAAAATTATACTGTTGTATTTATTTATACAACTTAAATAAAAAACGTTTTTAACTATTGTCATTACTTTATCTTAGCATCTTTGACGTTAATCTTGTTTTTTATAGAATATGAGCCAACAAACTTATTACTTTTAAATCTACACCCAGTCTTATGGCATTTTCAATTGATAATTCGGGGATAACTTTTTCTATCGAGATGTTCTTTTAGTGCAATATTATTTTCGATTGGTAAATCTGGTGCAAAATTTATAACAGTCGTGATTAATATATAACACTAGAATTTTTGTCAGAGTAGCAAGATAACCCTAAACCTAACAGGTGTTTTATATGGTTAACATATTAAATATAATTTGATTAGATGTATCTATTAATGAAAAATATAAGCGTCAATTAATACTCCTACAAAAATCTTAGATTACTCTAAAAATATTCGATTGGGCAACAAAATTTGATAGATCGGGAGTAAATTTAGATTGTATACTGATTTACTAATTGAAAACGCCATTAGAATTTCGATTTCATAACACAAATTTTATGTAGTATTTATCCAGATCTGTTAATATTTTTACTGCCCGCAGAGAAATAAAGCTCTCGAAATCAAATTTTATAATTATGTGCATAGTTTCTATACTACTTTATGAAGTGGCATTTAAATATATAGATTCCAAAACGATTACTTCTTAATTTACCTATGATAGCAAGAGAAGACATTAAAATACTTGAAAATAATGTCTTTAATATAAATTAAAAAAGACTATAGTTCGTCTTAATTTCTATATAATGCCTAAGAAATGTTATGGTATTCATAGAATATTAAAGCAAGTCATATCTTATATAGTATTAAAGAATATTGTATTACCTTATTGAAACAAAAAAAAAATTTTTGTTTAGCAATATACAAATTTTTATCTATATTTACTTATATTTAATGGATGAGGAAGTCTAAAATTATATCAGGCCATTATTGCTTCAGCTTTATAAGTAATTACAAAGAATTTGAAATCAAATTTTCTGTTTCCATTAAATATTTTAACCTTGAAATAGTAATTATGAATATTGAAAATAAATATTTTTAAATATTTTATATGATTATTACAAAACAGTAAATAAAGTTTTTATATATATTTTACAAAAAAAACGAATTTGCAAAATACCAGATGCCGGCTATAAAATTAAGTGGAAATGTTATTTTTATCAAATTTATTCAAAGTTATGTGACATATATTAAAACGATATATGAATTAATTTATTCGAAATTATTTATAAATTGATGCCATACAGGGGAAAACAATTCATTGAACTAATCTCGAATGGGTCATGTGTTTCAGTCTTGTACCGGCGTGATCTGCTACAATTTCTTCATACGAGTATTACTGCTGATAAGGCAATGAGTGCCATGTGAAATAGAAAAATACACGAACTTGTGTGCTGGTTTTATGGAGCAAGTGTGACTTGACTTATCACTGAAATATGTGGCATTAAATTACATTTTAACATATTATGTTTCTTATATTTGTGTGTTGTTGAAATTTGAGTGTCTACTTAAACATTTGGCAGATAATTTCGGTATCAATGTTAAACGTTTAACAACTTTCCAGGTTTTTTATGTTTAACTAATTTTACTAAAATTTCCCAGAAATAATTATTTTATTAGTCGAAAACTAAAATCCTATATACTCGCCTTAATGAAATTGTAATTTAAATATTTTGACAGGATATGTTAGACTTCATCCTTGTATACAAATAAGAAATGAAATGACTTGAAGAGGGCAAGTAAAATATGACTGAACAGATGAAAATGATATGATTGGATTCAATACAATCATGGATGTGTAATTTCACCATTTCATAGAACAACAAAAAATTGTTAGATACTATTATAAATTATAAGAAAAGTGTGGTGATGGCATTATAATATCGATGACTAATAATAGTTTTAATTGTTATATAAATGATATAGTTAAGAGATAATTTGTAGTTTGTAACTTAGATTCTAATGTTTTATCAGTTCATTAATACTTGTATTTACAATTTACTATAAATTCAAAAAACATCCATTTTTAGTTTAATTTTATATAACTGTTGTTTATGCGTTAGTTTTAAAAATAGCAAAGCAACTGCAATGGCTTTCTGCAAATAAACAAAAAAAGTGAACAAATCTTTCAATTTGAAGAACGCAAATTAATGTAGTTTTTAGGTGGTAATCTAGGGTAACTTCTTAACGGCAGAACTTACTTTTAGTACAGTTTTCATTTTCGATTGGTTAATTTCAAGCAACATGTATAACACTCGAAATTAATTTGTAATACTCTACATATTTTGCCAGATTGAGATTAA